CCTCCCTGAACACATACCCCAAGTAAGTATACTCCCTAACCTCCTCGATCTCTTTTCCCTCCCATCTCCAGTTTTCTGTTCTTTTTCTCCCACCCTTACAAAACTTCATCATCCTTGTCTTCCCCACATTCACTTCCAGCCCCTTCCCTCTAAAATATCTTTCCAATGTCTTTATCATATCCTTCATCTCCGCCGCCTCTCTCCATGACCACGATGTCATCCGCGTATGTTAACATATGCACCTTTCTACCTCCCACCACCAACCCACCCATTTGCCCCTTCCCCAATCTATCCTCCAGGTCCGCCGTATACAATGCAAACAGACTTGGGCTCAGCGGACATCCCTGCCTCAGTCGCTTCGTCGTCCAGAACACGTCGCTCAGCTTATCCCCCCACTTTTATCCTAGCCATAGTCTCCATGTATATTCACTCTCTCAATTAGGTGTTCCGTGATCCCCCTCCTCCCCATCTCCTCCCACAACTTTCCCCTATCCACCTTATCAAAAGGTGCCTTCAAATCTATAAACAGGGCGTACAGTTTCCCTCCCTTCTTATCCAGCTCTCTATCTGCCAGATGCTTCAACACGTAGACGTTGTCGATTGCTCCCCTTCCCTTCCGAAAGCCTGCCTGCCCATCCGGCAAAATTCCCCCCAACTCCATATCCTCCTCCAGTCTTCCCAGCAGTATCTTCGTGTATACCTTGTATGCCGAGTCTAGTAGGTTAATTCCCCTGTAGCTCTCTACCCTTCCCTTATTACCCTTTTTATATACTGGGCAAATAACCCCCACTTTCCATCCCTCCGGAATCCCACTGGTATTGTACTCTTTTAGAGAAGTTGCACTGAGCATAACGCTCTCCTGGTTTTCTCCAAAGTCTCTCGACAATCTGGAGAGTACAACCCGAACCTCGACTTGTCTGAGAACAGTACGTTTCGCCACTCTGCATTGATCCACTGAACAGGATCTCGTGCAAATTGTAATCGAGCAATATGATGTTCTCGAAGAAACTGTGGTCCAGTTGCGCCGGTCTCTGTGATCTCAACCCCGCTTCTTCAAATCTCCTTCTTACTGTGCGTTCACTCACGTTCAGCCGACGCACTTGCTCCAAATTATTTCTTATCTCAACTGCTGTGGTATGTCTATTTCGTAACACGGTCGTTATGATGTATCGATCATCACGGGGTTGTGTGGTGCGGCTTCTTCCTAACCCAGGTCGTCTGATGAATGTACCAGTCTGTCGAAATCTTTGAATGGCGCGAGAAACCATACTCTGTATCGTGCCAAGCACACGAGTAACATAACGAGTGCTGCGTCCATCTTCCACCAAAGCCAGTGCTTGAGCAACTTCTGCTAGACTTAAAGGCATTTTTCTTGTTTAGCAACAGTCAATGACGTTAACGTCACTGAAATGTTTTGGTCATTTTTAATGGCGCTGCCAAACAAGCCACGTTATCTTTTAGAGCTTGTAACTTTGGTGTTAACAACAATAGAAACTTGAACAAAAAACAGAAGTGATCAGAACAGACGAGACTATAAACCCTTTATGATTAAAGTTATTTTCTTTTGTCGGTACACCCCACAGCAAGCAAAGTGTAGGTAAAAAAGACGCATTAGCGTTATTCAACATTGCTGAAATTATAGAGTGCTAAAATGAGGAAGGCGCCTACAGAAATAGTGGCAAAGGGTAGACCTTCCAAATAAAAAAAAAACTTAATCAAATCGAGGAATAAGTTCAAAAGTTATTACAGTTTGAAACCGGTGAGTGTATTTAAAAAAAAATCAAATTTCCTAAATAATTACTTTTGATCATCCGGAAAATATAAAAGTGCTAATAACGAAGGATCACTAAAAGCACCTTCAGAAAACCAATAAGCAACTTTAGCAGCTGCTAAACCATTCTCAACATCCCCCTTTTCCATAAATCTTTCCGCTTTTTGCGCATTCTCCAAAGCTGTATTTACTTTTAAAGCAACTTCATCGCTTATAACAATACTGTTAATTTCTGACAATAACAAAGCTAAAGATTTTAATGTTCTCTTAGTCGATTTAATCATATCTAAAGTTTTTATTTTCATTAAACTCTTAACACTTTCCGGATCATTTTCTTTTAAACCCAATAAGTTTTGTAAATGGTTCGAATATGTTGATAAAATCAAAGAAATATCTGGTTTGAAAGATTTTTTAAGACAAGATTCTTTGTCAGGGTTAATAATTCCGATTCCACCCCATCTAGGATTTAAAAAAGCGTTACTTTCGACGATATTTCGCTTTTTATCACGAATAAAAATTGGTTTATCGCATCGAGAAATGTAAGTCACCAATTTTAGAGTGGGACGAGGTGACATGTGCGACCACATCTTTTTTTCTAGCGGAGTAATAATCAGTGGTAATTGATCCTCTTCGATAAAAAATCGTCCTTTATCTTCTATGGGTTGTACCCCCAACTCCAATAAATACAACCATTGGGATTTTACGGTAAAATTAGCAATTGGGCCAATTTGTTTCAAAAAACCTTCCAAACTCAATTTTAAATCTACCATTTGTATGTCTACATCCAAATTACTTGGATCGGGGTTTAATACTGTTATTAAAACATCATATTCTAAGCTTAAAGGAATACTATTTTCACGAATTGTTTTCTTTGGTATATCAAAACTTAACATTTCATCTAAAGGTAATGGAGCTCTGTATACACGCGTTGTTAGCCACCACATCGGTAATCCAATTACTAAAATAACTATTACGTATGAAATTAAACTAAACATTCGGTTTTTTCCTTCCGGATCATATTTAAAACGAGGATCTGAAAAAAGAAAAGTTTTAAGGTTAGTTTGATTTTTTTTAGTTTATGTTTTGTTTTACCGGTTTCTACTTCTTCGTTTTCTAACGATAATTTAGACCCCATTATAAATATTGCTTATAAAACCAATTTTAAAGAAAATCTGCGATAGAAAATAAATTGAGGTTATGTTTTTAGTGTTGTGTACAACCACACAACAATGGTATAAAACGGCCAATAAAATGTGACCTATATCTGTCCTTATTTAGCTAATGAAAATTTGTATAGTATTGTCTCTCTCAAATTTATTTTATTTCTTCATGATTTTGATGAATCTATAAGTTTTGATTCTGATTGAAGGGTGTAAACCAAACCAACCCTCTGTAATTATTTTAAAAACTTCTTTTTTCCATTTTTATTAGGTTCTTCAATGCCTCATCTTATAGCGAGCCTGTTGTGAGTGCGGGAAGTTATCCCCCCATTTTTTGATTTTTAAATTTTTCATAGTTGTTCTAGATCAGGGATAGGTCCGTACAGCTACACCCCCCATTCAAGATATCAGTATTTTGATACTGCCATAATTATGTAGGGGAAAGGGGGGCACATTGGGATGTTTGAAACATTTTCCAATGTGAAGTCTTTATTTTTGAATGAAATAACTTTATTTCTAGACAACACATGAATTAGGGCATTGGCTTTGAGATGCAACGTCTATAAAAGGTAATTCGCTCATACAAATTTAATTGTTTATTTTTCAAAAACTTCATGTAAATGTCTCAATGTGCCCCCACTGTGGGACAGAATGGGACATCCCTGGGGCACATGTGGACACACAAGTAAACTTCATAGGTAAAACTCCCTAACAAGTGAAAGTGCAATTTTTATTGTTTCCAAATACAACAAAATATCGACAGAATATTAAACATATCGTTTCAAAACATATTAAAGGAACTTAAATCTATTGGAAATTTTTTTATAGAACCTGATCGACTTGTGGTGGTATTAATTGGCTTCGGTTTTGGGAGTTTCATCTCGATTTGATGGAACTCTACCAAATCCTTGTCCACTACAGTTGGAGATACAAATCCACTCCCTTTTTCTTAAAAAATTTAATTGATAATCGCTATCAATAATTTTTTCTACCTCACCCACATAAAATCTGACTGTTTTCTTTATACAATACTTTGCTAGTACAAAGTCTCCAACTAATATGTTTGGTAACGTGGTTTCAGGGTCTAATAGAGGTAAAATCTGCTGCATAAATTCGTCATCTGATGCTTCTTTGCTAAATTCACTAATATTGTCTGACTCATTATCGTCATAAATCACAAGATCATCCGCTACATCACCGCTATCTTCTACATTCTTTCTTTTACTTGACTTTTGGGTATTTTTTACTTCATCAAACAACTTTTTCTTTCCTTTGGTTTTGTCTATTATTTTCTGTTCAAGACAGTTTTTCTCCGGGGTTTCTGTAAGGATTTTAGATTTTCCTGGTTGTCTCCCTTTCTTCGTCGAATTTTTTCTTTGTGCCTTAGGAAACGGTCGGACACTTTCAGGAGTGATTACCCCTTCTATCATGCTAGGGCGGCTGCTTGTTGACGGCGTATTCGTTGAAGCCGAGCTAGAAACTTGTGCTGAAGTGCTGGCTGTCATCGTAATGTTTCTTTCCATTTCTTGATGGGGTGTATTTGCACGAACTTCTTGAACTGTTAAGGATGCGTTGTCATTAACATATGCAGCCGCAAAATCATCTCTATGCCACATTTTCTAAATCCAGAGCAAATATTATCCAAAGTAAATGCTTTATAATAGGCTTGACCGGCTAATACTGCAATTTCGTAAATAGACATCCGTTTGCCGGGATGGGAAATAAGCCAATCGTTAAAAACAGATTTCAAGTAACTTTTAAAGGGTCCATATAAACACACATCGAGAGGTTGGAGACGATGTGTACAATGGGGTGGAAATGTTACAAATATTATACCATTGTCCCTACAAAAAACTATTGTCTCCAAACTGGTGTGCAATTCGTGGTTATCTAGTAATATGACGATGCGATTTTCTTTGGAACATTTTATAAATTTTTGAATGTGTTTCACCACTTCTAAAAATAAAGATNTTAAATGGTTGTTTAAATCTTTATAAGCCGCACTTTAAAACCACTTTTTCTTCATACGAAACCGCGGCTTCTAACGGAAAAACAGGGTAATTGATAACCGCTATCAATAATTTTTTCTACCTCACCCACATAAAATCTGACTGTTTTCTTTGTACAATACTTTGCTAGTACAAAGTCTCCAACTAATATGTTTGGTAACGTTGTTGCAGGGTCTAATAGAGGTAAAATCTGCTGCATGAATTCGTCATCTGATGCTTCTTTGCTAAATTCACTAATATTGTCTGACTCATTATCGTCATAAATCACAAGATCATCCGCTACATCACCGCTGTCTTCTACATTCTTTCTTTTACTTGACTTCTGGGTATTTTTTACTTCATCAAACAATTTTTTCTTTCCTTTGGTTTTGTCTATTATTTTTTGTTCAAGACAGTTTTTCTCCAGGGTTTCTGTAAGGATTTTAGATTTTCCTGGTTGTCTCCCTTTCTTCGTCGAATTTTTCCTTTGTGCCTTAGGAAACGGTCGAACACTTTCAAGAGTGATTACCCCTTCTATCATGCTAGGGCGGCTGCTTGTTGACGGCGTATTCGTTGAAGCCGAGCTAGAAACTTGTGCTGAAGTGCTGGCCGGTCATCGTAATGTTTCTTTCCATTTCTTGATGGGGTGTATTTGCACGAACTTCTTGAACTGTTAAGGATGCGTTGTCAGTAACATAATCATCTCTCGAAAAAATATTTCTGTTATATGGCACTATGCCACATTTTCTAAATCCAGAGCAAATATTATCCAAAGTAAATGCTTTATAATAGGCTTGACCGGCTAATTCTGCGATTTCGTAAATGGACACCCGTTTGCCGGGATGGGAAATAAGCCAATGGTTAAAAACAGATTTCAAGTAACTTTTAAAGGGTCCATATAGACACACATCGAGAGGTTGGAGACGATGTGTACAATGGGTTGGAAATGTTACAAATATTATACCATTGTCCCTACAAAAAACTATTGTCTCCAAACTGGTGTGCGATTCGTGGTTATCTAGTAATAATATGAGGATGCGATTTTCTTTGGAACATTTTGTAAATTTTTGAATGTGTTTCACCACTTCTAAAAATAAAGATGCCGTCATCCAACCGGATCCTGATTTGTTGGATAATCCTAGGCTACCATTAGGCGCACTTTTCATAAATACCGGCTTGTTTTTAGCCCTTGGAAAGACATACACCGGTGGTACTGTATTTACGACGGCATTAATGATAGCACAAAAGGTTACCAGTTCTCCTCTCTCGGCTGAAACTACTTGCCCCACCTGCTTAGTTCCCGTCATAGCAATAACTTTTGGTGCCTGAAGAACTGTGGTGACCCCTGTTTCGTCAAGATTATAGACATTTTCTGGTGTTATTTTATATTTTTCTAATGCAACTTGCAGATTATCGAAAAATTGTTTCACGTTGGTTTCGTTAAATCCTGTTGCCCTGGCTAGACTGGTGTTTTCAGGTTTTCTTAAACTGAGATTGCTGAACCTTTTCAAGAAAGATATCATCCAGTCCAAACCCGCTCTCTTGTTCTTATCCCAGCTCGTTGGGTATTTTCTGTTAAGTTTTTGAGCAAACTCAAAAGCTTGCGAATACGTCAGCCCGTAATTTATTTTTAAACTTTGCATTAGATACTCGCACAATTGTTGTTCCTGGTTTGCGGTAAAAACTTGTTGGGTGCTATATTTCGACTGAAATGGCCAATGAAATAGGTCGTTTGAATCACTTTCTACTGTGGCAAGATTCGTGGTCTCAGGCAGCAAGTTGTTATTTTTATTATTTTCCTCTCGTTCATCATCTTCAGTGGGTTGTGCAGCAAGAGACTCCCCTGTTTCCCCATCTGTGTTTTCTTCTGCTTTCCGCTTTTTGACTTTGTTCAACTTGTTGACTAAGGTAGATTTCTTGATATTATGTGTTGCTGCACCATTTCTTATTGATAACCTTCCATCAATAACATCTCTAACTGCAGCAACAATGTCTTCCTCAGGTATGGAAGCACGATCTGTTTTTCTCTTGTACATACAGACCATTTTTTATGTCCTGAGTCCTGAAATATTTTTTTCCTTAATTATATCAATTTTATTAGGCGGGGGACATTGAAACAGTCTCAATGTGCCCCTTACCTCTTGTCCCAAAGTGCCCCCACTGACTGTATTGAACATAAGATCATTTGCAAAATAATAGGTTAGGTCTATACAATAAATAAAACCATGAAGATAAGTCTCAATATTATGTGTTCTTAGTGATTAATTGATTTTAAACCATTTGCTTGAAATATGGAAAATATCCACTTACCAATTTTCATGCAACTTTTTACAGCAACTATCATAAAACACTTAAAATTGAATAAAAATTTCCGTACGTCACAAAACAGCGCGAAACGTTTGGAGAATTTGAAGCAAGGTATTTTTGTCTTTAATTATGATTTAATACTTTCAAGGATTCAGGATTATTTTTATGTAATAAAAAGCTTTAAAGTGTCCAATCGGATATTTGACTTTCGCTCATTCAAATTGGTAAAAGTGACCACTGTGCGACGTGATGAATTTTTTTTTGTTTCCTGAAAAATCAAACAAATGTCGTTTATGCTGTTTTGGCAAATTTTTGATGTGATTCACGTTTCTGACTTATTTGTTTACCTTGTCATATAGTTTTAATACAAACATCTTCTGACACTACAGCAATTATTGTATTATAGCTACATACTCTTTAGATGTCATTGTGAGTGAAGAGTTTGGCAGAGAAAATTTGAAGGGAACCAATTGCAAAGAAGACATTTCTGGACTATTGAGTAATTGAGAAGAATTTTTAGACCAGTACTAATACCAAATGTGTGTACAAATTTATACAACCATAAGCAAACTTTTTTATTTCTCTGGCCATAATTTATAATTGAGAATCGAGAGATAAATATCAATAGAGATATTGATATTTCAAAATTGAAATCTAATTTAATTTTAATAAAAGCTTAATAAATGTAATACTAATATTTACTTTGTAAAAAAAACCTTATGTAAATACATTAGAGAAATAATAAATTTAATTTTAACATCAAAAAAGATTCAGTCTTCATTCTTATATGTAACCATAGTATTAACCTTATGAATATTTGTAGAAAACGATCTCATTTTAACACATTGAGCGTTTTTAATATTAGCAGCCTCAGTTTCAGCCCACTCCTGAGGTAAATTAACATCATCTTTAGTATAAATTTGAATATCAAAACTGCACAAGCAATCTAATAGTGGAAGATAAGCTACAGATGAAGCAACTTGCTTTAAAACATCCCTTATTTCATTTCGAATTTGTTTTAACGGCTTATCCGACACCTGCTTATCCCCTTGAGATTGATCTCCATCATATTCAATATTAAAATCCCATCGTTCCATCACTTCCAAAGAAGCCACATTTGTTATTATTAAAGCCACTTTATTAACAACCTTTTGAGTCAACCAATCTAAAAAAAATGTAATGAGATTTATTAATAATTAATTTAAATAAATACCAACCTTTTAGTTGACTTAACGTTACGGATAAAAACTCTTTAATTTCTTTATCTTGCGACATCAAAATAGTTAATCCATAGTTTTCGGCGGTTTTAAAGGATTCGGGCGGATATATCCCACGTTGAAATAATATCGAGTTAATACCAAAATCTGTTAAAATTTAATTTTTTAGTATTATATTGATGAACTTAACCTCAAAAAAAATTTTTTAGTACTAACCTAGGTATTCACACACAATTTCTGATGAACCCTTTAAGGTTATTGCTGATTTATTACATTGAGCCGAAGACATATTAATAATAAAGAAAATTAAACGATAATTTTAAAATTAGGCTTAAAACTTATTCAAAACCAAGCCGTTATTTGTTGTGGTGATTCGGCGCATGCTCAAGAATTAAATCCAATGAATTCAATAAAAAATTGTTTTATTAATAATATTGCATTTAAATTAAGGATTTGATTTAATATTGAGTGTTTTTAAGTTAGATTTATTTACTTTTTTTTGGAGATGAAGTGAAATTTTGAATGTTGAGTATTGATGATTTTTTTGCATAGGACATTATTGATCCGGCTTTTTGTTGTAATGAGGTTCTAGAACACTGTAGAATTGTGTTTTGTTGTAATATTCTAGAATTATGCTAAATTAAAGCTTAATCATCGTTTTATTAATGTTTTTGACTGATGTAATTATTTAAAATTTTAATAAATCTTTATTAAAAACTAATCTTGGGGTTAATGTAATAAGATGTTTAATTTATTCGATTAATAGGTTTAATTGTGGGTTGTATTTATAATATAATCATTATTTATTAATTTTTTTTTATATAAATAAAATCTGACTTAACCTCAAATATCCACATGTATATTTGCGGTTTTCTAGAAAACCGTAGAATATCCTCTATATCGTCTAAAATGCGTACGAAATCAACGAATTAAACTTACTTTATTCATAACAATTAATAAAATCCATCAAAAAACATAAATTAATACATTTTTTTCACAAATAAAAACTGACTTAACCTCAAAATATCCACATTTAATATGCAGGTTTCTAGAAAACCGTAGAATATTCTCTAGATCGTCTAAAATAAGAATAAAATTATTATTTATTACAAAGTTATACCTCATTATGAATTTGGGGCCCGTTAAAATCAATAAATGAAAAGAATTCCATCAAAAATTAATTTATTTTGTGGTTATGTTTTATTGCACTAAAATGCGTACCAAATTAAACTTATTTTATTCATAAAAATTAATAAAATCCCTCAAAAAAACATAAACTATTGTAATTAGTAAAAATTAATATTAAATGTAATTAGTAAAAATATGCCTAAAAAGGGATTGTCAAAATGCAAAAAAAAATTAAAATATTTTGAAATAGTATTAATAATAACTTATTTCATTGTTAATTAATATTTTTAATGTTTGGTAATAACTTAATCATCGTTCAAAGCAATAAATTCGTTAAAATTAAAAAATAAAATAATCCATTTTGAATTTGGCGCGTTAAAAACCGGAAATCCACCAACGGTTAACCGGCGTTTCTGTCAGCGAGAATCTTCTATTTCCTTCTGGATCGTTCTAGAAGGCGCTGGGGTATATAAACAAGCGCCGTCGACCGGCGAAAATCAATAGCAAAGCAGCTGTCGTACCGAGCACATCACCTCCAGTGAAGTGAATTTTTACCGCATTTTCAACCAAGCCAAGGGCGTTTTTCCAGTTTATTGCGATTTAAAAAAGTTCCTAAAACACAAATAAGGTAAGTTTTATTAAAATTAATTAATTTTTTTTTGCTTTCGTAAAAGTTATTTGATCGTTTTTAAATCGGATTACTTTCAATTCAATTAATCTTATAGATGCCGGAAGAAGTACAATCGGGTGAAGTTGAAACCTTCGCTTTCCAAGCGGAAATTGCTCAGTTGATGAGCTTGATCATTAACACATTCTACTCGAATAAAGAAATCTTCCTTCGTGAATTAATTTCCAACTCTTCCGACGCTTTGGATAAAATCCGTTATGAATCTCTCACCAACCCCGCGAAATTGGAGTCAGGAAAAGATCTCTACATCAAAATCATTCCAAACAAAGCTGATGGAACCCTCACCATCATTGATACTGGTATTGGTATGACCAAAGCTGATTTAGTTAATAATTTGGGTACAATTGCTAAGTCTGGTACAAAAGCTTTCATGGAAGCCCTACAAGCAGGAGCTGATATTTCCATGATTGGTCAATTTGGTGTTGGTTTCTACTCTGCGTATTTGGTCGCCGATAAAGTTATTGTTGTCTCAAGGAACAACGACGACGAGCAATACATTTGGGAGTCCTCCGCTGGCGGAAGTTTCACCGTTCGTTTAGATCAGGGCGAACCCCTTGGGCGAGGAACCAAGATTGTTTTACATATCAAAGAAGATCAAACTGAATTCTTGGAGGAAAATAAAATTAAAGATATCGTAAAGAAACATTCTCAATTTATTGGTTATCCCATTAAATTGGTTGTGGAGAAAGAAAGGGAGAAGGAATTGAGCGATGATGAAGCGGAAGAAGAAAAGAAAGAAGAAGCGAGTGAAGAAGATAAAGATAAACCGAAAATCGAAGATGTAGAAGATGATGAGGACGCGAAAAAAGAAAAGAAAAAGAAGACCATCAAAGAAAAATACACCGAAGATGAAGAATTAAACAAAACCAAACCAATTTGGACCAGAAACGCCGACGATATCAGCCAAGAAGAATACGGAGAATTTTATAAATCATTAACAAACGATTGGGAGGACCATTTGGCTGTTAAACACTTCAGCGTCGAAGGCCAATTAGAATTTAGAGCGCTCCTCTTTGTTCCAAGACGAATTCCTTTCGATCTCTTTGAAAATAGGAAGAAGAAGAACAACATTAAATTGTACGTCCGAAGGGTCTTCATTATGGATAATTGCGACGAACTTATCCCAGAGTACTTAAACTTCATCAAAGGCGTCGTTGATTCAGAAGATCTCCCATTAAACATTTCCCGTGAGATGCTCCAACAAAACAAAATCTTAAAAGTAATCCGCAAGAATTTGGTGAAGAAATGTTTGGAACTATTCGAAGAATTATCCGAAGACAAAGATGGCTACAAGAAATTCTACGAACAATTCTCGAAAAATCTCAAATTGGGCGTCCACGAAGATTCCCAAAATCGCGCAAAACTCGCCGATTTACTCCGTTATCACACATCCGCCAGCGGAGACGACGCGTGCTCTCTCAAAGAATACGTTAGCCGCATTAAACCGAATCAAAAACACGTTTATTACATCACCGGAGAAAGCAAAGACCAAGTTGCTAATTCATCGTTCGTTGAACGTGTTAAGAAGCGCGGTTTCGAAGTCGTTTACATGACAGAACCAATTGATGAATACGTCGTTCAACAATTAAAAGAATACGATGGAAAACAATTGGTTTCTGTTACAAAAGAAGGTCTCGAACTTCCAGAGGATGAAGATGAAAAGAAAAAACGCGAAGAGGACAAAGCCAAATTCGAAGGTCTTTGCAAAGTAATGAAAACCATTTTGGATAATAAAGTCGAAAAAGTCGTCGTTTCAAATCGCTTGGTTGAATCCCCCTGTTGTATTGTAACATCTCAATACGGCTGGACAGCTAATATGGAAAGAATTATGAAGGCTCAAGCACTTAGAGATACTTCCACTATGGGATATATGTCTGCTAAGAAACATTTAGAAATTAATCCAGATCATCCAATTGTGGAAAATTTGAGACAAAAAGCTGAAGTTGATAAAAACGACAAAGCTGTAAAGGATTTGGTTATTTTACTCTTCGAAACTGCTTTATTGAGTTCTGGATTCACTTTGGATGAACCTCAAGTTCATGCTTCTAGAATTTACAGAATGATCAAATTGGGTCTTGGAATTGATGAAGATGAAATGGTTGTGGATGATTTGCCGGCTGGAGATGCACCCACCACCGAGGGTGAATCTGAAGATGCTTCTCGTATGGAAGAGGTTGATTAAGATGTTGGGTTTGAAGAGATTTAGAAGAATTAAAATTCAAGAAGAATGATGTTCAAGTAAGAAAAGGTATTTAATTTAGGGCATGTGTTCTAAGATGTTCTAATTCTCTCGTTCATTCCCTTTTTTTTTTTGTATATTTATTGTTTGTATACAATATAACAACTAGACTGTGTTTTTATTTTTAGTTTTCCATCTTGATTACGATTTAAATGTAAGATACTCGTACCAAATAAAATATAAATGTTTCATTTGAATTTTTCTTGTTTTATTTTATTCCTATAAAATATTTTAAAGATTAATTTTTTTAGGTTTGTAGAAAAGTTTTGGAATTAATATTTTATATTTGGATTGATAAAAAAATATAAAATTTATTTAGAATTGGAGATTGTTTAAAAATATTTAAAAAACTTATCTTGCTAATACTTTATTCTTATTGAGACTAATTTTGCGTTGTTTTCCAGATCATTTCCGTATTACAAAGCAGTTAAAATTTCATAACTTACTGTCAAATGAAAATCTAAATATCAAGCTGAATATTAATTATCTTAAATAAAATTACAAATGAATTTAAAAGTTAAATAAATAGGGTTGACTTATATAATAAATCGAAGAAAACATGTGACACAATCATAAATGAACAAATTAAAATGTTTGTGAAATACACTTGAATCGAATTGTTTATTTCAGAAAGGGACTAAGTAACATTTTTATGGTTCAGAGAAAAACGAAAAAAATATATATTTTCCAATTTAAAGAGTATTCACGACATTTTTTATTACAAATTGCATATATAACTACCAATACATGTCATCATAACAATTTATTTTTTTATTGTTTTTTGCAATTCTTATAAAGAAAACAACAAAATAAAAAAACTGCAATTAAATGTATGTCGTTTACTGATTGCGTTTTTTCTTGTATTCTCACATGGGTATGGAAATCGATATTCAAGAAGAATATTATTTTTAAAACAATATGGATATTTACGAGAATATAATTAAAAAATTTTTATTAGAAAATGAAAATATTGACAAAAACAAACTTATTTTTAATTCTGTTGCATTTTTTTCTGGTCTCGCCTTAGATGGGGATTTTAATATATCTTGATAAAAATTCAAGTATGGTTCTTCAATATAAGGAAATGCTTCCTTATAAAATGTTAAAGCATTAGTTGTGGGCATTTTGATCAAAGTTCTAGATCTTTTTGGCATGTGTAGGTGAAATGTGTGTCATGTTAACCCATTTATACAATCTGAAGCAACAACATATCCCGGAGTTTTATGTTCATGAAGAAAATAATGAAAGTAGGATATTGTAAAGAATTTTATGTTATCTCGAACTACTCCGGGTTTTATGCTTTCAGGAGAATTTGCAGTTTCTTTGTAATACTTAGGCCAGCAGTTTTTAAAATCGAGAATGTCTTTGGAAGAAATTTCGTTTATCAATAAATTTCTGGTTAGCACTTGAAGCAATAATTTCTGTGTAAGTATGGAGAGAATATATTCTATCGTGTTTCTTAAGACATCTATTGACCATGCCAAAATCGCGATCGTTCGGCAGAAAAGTTTTTCATATGGGAAAAAACTGTTCTGTTTTCTGTTGATCTCAACCAAAGCCATACACATACGTAGCAGTGTATGGGTCTTGTTTTGTCCCGGGCAGTTATCACTGTACATTCTTTTCGAATATAGTTCCATAAAAATGAAGCAACTTCATTAGGGCCTTTATTAGCGATACCTTCATGATATATATAAAAATACCCTTGTCCATTCTTACAGTTATGAATATTGAATACATTATTCGATATATAACTGAGTCAAATAGAACATTTCTTGAATAGGTATTTCTGGAAAGTGACGTTTTGTATTAAATGAAAAGTAAATCGTCACGGGTTTTACACTCAGCAGTTGTTAATGTATCATCAATTCAGCAACTACTGCACGCTTGGCATGTTCTCTTAAGGTTGAACTTTTTATTTTCATATTAATCTACTTGAGGACGGCCAAAATGTGGATGATTCTAATGGCCATGAAAATATTTAACATAGTAATTGTAGCGGATACAAATATTTTTATGTTTTTATGTATTTTTATGTTTTTGCGATTTGGCATACGTTTTCGTCCTTTAACATGAATGTAGTGGAAAAATGAACAACTTTTTTGTCTCTGCATTATTGCGTTTTTAAGTTTAGATCTCCTTTGAACTTCATGCATTTCTAAAAGGCATTGTAAGTAGATATCTTGTTCATCTTTAGTATTAAATTTTACGCATAGCTTGTTGAAAATTTTCAGTTTTTGCTCATCGTTCACTTTTGGAAACATTTCATTGGACATCTTAAAGTATTAATTTAGTTAAAAAAATACAATTCATCAGTTCGTGTAACACTTACCGACAAGCTTCTCCACACTTTCTTTCTTGCACTTCATTTCCCTTGCAATTTAAATATCTCTTTCCTTTAACTCTAGCATTTTTTATAATATTTCGAGTATAACAATCGGAATTGTTAACTTCTCTTTTCCTTTTTTTAGAAATTTTGATTTCTGTATCACTTAGTGAACATTTACTTTCTATTTCTTCCATTATTACCACTTAAAACAGTTATTGTTACTTAATATAGCAAACAACGTTTTGACTGTAGGTTAAGTTGATAAGTGCTTGAACACATATAAGCAATTGCAATCTGCAATATGAGCCATCGTACCCTAGCAACGAAGTATGATTCGGCAATATAATTTGCTAATAATACATAATATCGCTAGACAGATTCGCAATCGCTTTTATGTGTTCAAGCCTTAGGTCCATTACTACCATCTTTTAGTTAAATTTATCTTATAGATAAACCCATCTACTAGCCAATCAGAGCGCGTAAAATAGCCGTAACCGTGGTAATAATCCCTTAGATAGCTTAACCAGAAAATGGTAGTAACGAGCCTTAGTCACGTAATTTTTAGCCGTCATACTATACTGACAGTTTGTTGCAGAAAGAGACTATCTAACGATACTTAGTACATTTCTACAGCAAACGAAATATTCTCTCCTCTCAATAAATGTTAGAGACTTATGAATCATACTTCTTTTCTACACCCAATTGTTACTTAGCCCCTTTCTGAAATAAACGATTCAATTCCAAAGAAAATTGCTGAACAATAGACAAACTAAGACTAAATAAAACGATGATAGATATTTCAAAAATTTAAGAAGCGCATTATCACTTCCCTCCCAGACAAAAAACACATCGTCTACGTATCTGATCCAGCTGTGTATACTGTTTTTAAAAGGGTTGCTATCATTAACAATGTTGCTATTCCCAATGTGGTCAAGAAAGATGTCAGCTAATATACCCGATAAAGGCATACTCATGAGAAGTATTTCTTTGATTTGGTAAAATACATTGCCAAAAGTGCAATAATTTTAAGTTACTATGTGTTTAAGCATAGTATTTAAATGATGAACCTTTTCTTCACTGTCTTTAAAGAAAGCAGAAAAGAGTTGATTTGCCAAACTTAGGGTCAATTTTATGGGAACGTTGGAATACAAGTTAGTAACATCAAACGAGGTTAATATTTTGTTTTTGTAATTGATATCTTTGGTCTGTTCAATGAATTGAAGAGGATTTTGAAGTGAGTGTTTTGGCTTGAAATTGATTGTTCTCAATATATTAAGCATAAAGTTAGCTAATTTTTGTGTTGGAGAATTCAGAAAAGATGTTATAGGACGTATGGGTATTCCTTCTTTATGTAAGAGCTTTGGGATTATGGGATTCATATATATAAAATGCGATGTGTAAAATTGTTTTAAGTTTGAGTTTTTCAGATATGGGGTCTGTTCTATTAGAGTATTCCTTGCAATATGGAGTGTGTTCAATCTTAGGGTATCTTTGCATAAAAAAATAAAAGTTATTGTCTGGTTCAGATCTGGTTCATCTCGAAGTTCTAAACAAAATTCATGTAGCACATAAACCTCTTTGTGCAGTTTCTTCTCTGATTTGTAGAGGTCTCACAGTGTTTGGTTTAGCACCAACCTTTTTCATCTTGCGAACTCAAAACACTTATAAATCAAAAAAAAATTGACGAACCGCATGTGTAGTTGTTACATACAGGTAAGAAAAAATGCAACCATAATCGTAAAAAATCTAAACACAAACTGTACATTCATAAAGACTAAAATCATAGATACAAGAAAATCAAAGCATAAAATTGACACAACACTCTTAATGACATACTTGCGCCTGTTTGCTAGAACAAATAAATTCAAAATTAGGCTCACTCTCTGACAGTTTCAGTCTTAAATCAGATTCTGCATTTAATCTGTTTCTGTATTTATCTTTCAAGAAAGTACATGTGGAAAATCCTTTCTTACATAGACATGTTGTGCAAAATGGTAATAAAACTTTGATAGATTTTTCTGACAAAATATTATACTTTGTATTCTTTTGTATTATAATATTTGTATTCAATACTAATTGTAAGCCAAAAGTATATTAAAGAGTGGTCTTTAAAAATCGCTTTTAAGGATCTATCACAGGATAACTCAATAAGTTTTTATTTTGCAGTAAAGTTAGAAAGATCTCGAAATTTAGATCTTTTTTGAAAGGAGTATATATCCAATTATTTGTTAGAGATAGTGCGTCTATTAAGGAAGTATTCGTCAAAAGTTAATTGAAGATATTTGAGATGTTCACATATATTTGTTTTAATGTTGTCATCAAGTTTACCTGAATTTTCAGATAAAAAGCTGCTGAGAGAACTATAACATTCGTACTCATTCATCTCGGCAGACAGTTGATCTAAGAGTTAATCAGCTAAATATGCAAGCTTTTGCAGCCAAAGAATACCAGATAGACAAGAAGATAAATGAAATGGATGGTCAGTAAGAAATGCTTGAACTTCAGATTTTAACTCAAACAAGCGTGTCAAAACTTTGCCACGAGAAAGCCATCTAACATCCGTATGAAGTAATAACGAAACGTGAAGGCTTCCAAAGTCTTCACAAAGCACATGAAATACACGGGAATTAGTAGATGGCGATTTTATAAAGTTTACAATTTTTACAGCATCACTTAAAGTAGTAGATAGTTCACTAAGAATACGCTTACATGCCAATGCTTGTCTATGTATACAGCAATGTGTCCATTCAATTGTTTCGTTGATCTTCTTTACCCATACCACAAACCCAGAAAATTTTCCTGTCACTGATTTTGCACCATCTGTGCACGCACCCACACAATAAGACCAGTTTATTCCATTTTTTTCAAACCATATCAAATATTGCTTCTCCAGTTGTATAAGTTTTTAAAAGTTTTGCAAAAAGCACATCTTCCTTAATGGAATTCTGAAAAGTGAATCTAACATACACAAGTAATATTATAGCGTTTGCTACATCGGTCGACTCGTCAAGCTGGATCACAAAATAATTCAATTTAATTCTTTTCAAAAGCTCATTCTCCACATTACTTGCCATATCATACGGTATCTATTATTTGATAAAGAAACTAGGTCAATTTTTTTTTGTTGCCTTTTCTCCCAGCATACACTTTGCAATATCTTTTGCACATGGTCCAATTAAATTTTCTGCAATTGTATGTGCCTGTTCAGATTTTGCAATTCTATAGCTTACTCGAAATGATGCCTCAAGCGCCATTTTTGTATCTTCTTTTGAAGCTGACAGAAAAGAAGATACACTACTCTTTCTATAATCAGCAAATTGTTTTCTAAAATACTCGATAGGGTTATCCTTGTATGTCGGATGTTTGATTTCGAGGTGTCCACGAAGAAGTGATGGTTTTAAGTTGCTCTTAGTAAGCACTTCATTGCAAATTACACAAAGCGGCTGAGGTTCTGATTCTTCCCCAGTAAAGTAAAAACTCATTTGTAAATAGTCGCTGTCATATTTTCGCCTTTTTCTTTTCTTCTCACCAGTTTCATCAATTTTTTCTTTGTATTTAGTCGGCTGAAATGGTAGCTCACTACAGCTCTCAGTATTATCGCCCTTTGTTGTTCCGAAATTGGGTGATGACGATGAAGATTGGACAATTGACTGCTTGTCCAGTATTTTTTTGGACACAACTAAACTACCCGTTTTTAGCCACCGATCCGTATTAAAATTATGGAATAATAATTATTAAGAACTGTTTACACGTTCTCGTTAAACTTCGCTAATCAATCTACGGGTATCAGACTACTAACTGCGAACAAACAATAAATCGCACAAGGTTTTAAAATGTCTATACGAAGTTCTGGTAACCTGCGAGATGATGCATGCTCCCTCAAAGAATACGTTAGCTGCATAAAATCGAATCAAAAACACGTTTATTACATCACCGGAGAAAGCAAAGACCAAGTCGCCAACTCGTCGTTCGTTGAACGTGTTAAGAAGCGCGGTTTCGAAGTCGTTTACATGACAGAACCAATTGATGAATACGTCGTTCAACAATTAAAAGAATACGATGGAAAACAATTGGTTTCTGTTACAAAAGAAGGTCTAGAACTTCCAGAGGATGAAGATGAAAAGAAAAAACGCGAAGAGGACAAAGCCAAATTCGAAGGTCTTTGCAAAGTAATGAAAACCATTTTGGATAATAAAGTCGAAAAAGTCGTCGTTTCAAATCGCTTGGTTGAATCCCCCTGTTGTATTGTAACATCTCAATACGGCTGGACAGCTAATATGGAAAGAATTATGAAGGCTCAAGCACTTAGAGATACTTCCACTATGGGATATATGTCTGCTAAGAAACATTTAGAAATTAATCCAGATCATCCAATTGTGGAAAATTTGAGACAAAAAGCTGAAGTTGATAAAAACGACAAAGCTGTAAAGGATTTGGTTATTTTACTCTTCGAAACTGCTTTATTGAGTTCTGGATTCACTTTGGATGAACCTCAAGTTCATGCTTCTAGAATTTACAGAATGATCAAATTGGGTCTTGGAATTGATGAAGATGAAATGGTTGTGGATGATTTGCCGGCTGGAGATGCACCCACCACCGAGGGTGAATCTGAAGATGCTTCTCGTATGGAAGAGGTTGATTAAGATGTTGGGTTTGAAGAGATTTAGAAGAATTAAAATTCAAGAAGAATGATGTTCAAGTAAGAAAAGGTATTTAATTTAGGGCATGTGTTCTAAGATGTTCTAATTCTCTCGTTCATTCCCATTTTTTTTTTGTATATTTATTGTTTGTATACAATATAACAACTAGACTGTGTTTTTATTTTTAGTTTTCCATCTTGATTACGATTTAAATGTAAGATACTCGTACCAAATAAAATATAAATGTTTCATTTGAATTTTTCTTGTTTTATTTTGTTCCTATAAAATATTTTAAAGTTTAGTTTTTAAGGTTTGTAGAAAAGTCTTTGAATTTGGAATTAATATTTTATATTTGTGATGATAAGAAAATATAAAATTTATTGTCCTTAAGTTGCAGTAAAATAGAACACCTTTGTAGGAAAAGTTTCATGATGATCAAAATTAAATAAATATAAAGTTCAAACAGTTAAAGAAATACATGTTTCAGCCCACTTTTCCGGATAAACTATCTAAAGGATTACATTACATAAATTATACAGGGATGTACCAAATAAAATATAAATGTTTCATTTGAATTTTTCTTGTTTTATTTTATTCCTATAAAATATTTTAAAGTTTAATTTTTAAAGTTTGTAGAAAAGTTTTTGAATTTGGAATTAATACTTTATATTTGAATTTATATATATTATATTTATATATATATATTTTAAATTTTATATTTATTTTATATATTAATAATTTGGGTTGATAAAAAAATATAAAATTTATTGTTCTTAAGTTACGCAGTAGAATAGAATGAAAAGTTTTTATGACTATCAAAATTAAATGAGAATATGAAGTTCAAAAAGTTAACGAAATACACTTCTCTTTTTACACGATAGATACGTTCCCAAAAAATGCATGTAAAACAAGAATTGGGTGTGAACTATTTCTTGTTAGAGTTCACTTAACAATTTATTTCGTGCTTACACATTTTAATTCATTAAATATATTATAAAAAATAAAATATACTTTGAAAAAAAGAAAATAATATCTGAAATTCATTAATATAGAAAAAGTAATAATAATAAAACATAACAAAATTTGATGCATTGTCACTGCCATCACTAGAACTATTACTGGATTATTATCTCTAGTCTCCTGTGTTGATAATTCCGTAGTTTTTGAAAGGAAATCAGTCATTAAAGATTGTGTTTGATTTCGTTATAAAGTTCCCTGTAAGATGCCATTAATAATTTCAGTTCACGTTGAAATTTTATTGTTCAAAATGATTACCCAATTTCCTGGCAAGATCAAGACCTTTTTTAATTAGAGTTGCATTTAAAATGGGAGGATCTTCTTCGTCATTATCGCTATATTCTCTGTCATGATGAGTCTCAAGGGTGAGGTCTACAATTTCATTTTCGTTCAACTTTTTATCAACTAATAATAATTCCTCTATATCGGCAAATGATGGATCATCGAGTTCATCTCCACCAATTGTATGTGCCAGCGTTGTGATGTCAACAAAAGCAGCGTTATTATGGATAACAGGATCAGGATCTTTGCTTTTGACACATTCTGGCCAAATATTTTTACAACATGAGTTCAAGGTTGATGGCTTTAAGTCAGCTAACGCTAACACAATTTGATTAATGCAGTCCATAATAAAAAAAATTTCGCACACATCAATGACTGTTAAATCCTTATTATGGTCTAGTTTGTCTAGCACATATTGGAATGAACGTATTGGTCTAGTGGTTGTATTAAAATTGCAGATTTGAGTGCTCCAAGACCGGATGGCCAGGTGCATTGTCTAGAATTAAAAGAACGTTAAATTCTAGACATTTTGCATTCATCATTTGCATCTAACTTCTGGGATGAAGTATTTCTGGAACCATTCCACTGGCCATCCAGGCCTCTTTGTTTGCTGTCCTGTGAATTGATTATTGAAATCTACACCTTTCATCGAGCGTGGTCTTAAAGCACAATTTACTAGCAGTGGTTTTAACATACGTTCTCGTAAAGCATTGGAACAAAACAACAATGTTACACAATACTTTGCTACATTAAAACCACCGGCAGTTTTCTGCGATTTTGCAACATAAGTTCTGCTCGGTAGTTTTTTCCAAAAAAGGCCACTTTCATCTACATTCCAAACTTGATCTGGGTGTATCCTCCTTCAATAATTTTCTAAGTTTTTCAGGAAATTCTTTGACAGCGGGCAGACGCAGTATCTCCATTGATTTTTATATTATGGAGAGCATGTCGTTTAAGAAAACCTGTCATCCAACTTGTACTTGCAGCAAATTCAGGTTGTTTTGACTGTGATTTATCTTCAATTACCAAACATTACCAAAGCTTTTTCCATCTTCTCCTTGACAACATGTCTTATGTATGACGATGATTTAGCACTTATTTTCGTTCCAGAACATACTAAAATTTTAATTTTAGTATCTAAACTGATCTTTGCTTTTATTACAGGTGAATTGTGTAAAAAGAGAATTAGGTGTACATGTTTTAGACCCACTTTTAAGGTCGTTTATTTTCCGGCTAACACAACAAGTGCACTGCAACCTCTTGATCAAGGCATAATTGCGGCTATGAAGAAACGATATCGTACTCGACTTGTTAGAGCAGCAAATTTGGCAACAGAATTAAACCAAGAAAAGCCAAAATAGAATATTCTACAAGCGATAAGAGCGTTGTCAGATTCATGGAATTCAGTTACTCCAGATATTATAAAAAATTGTTTTATAGAAGCGTAGACAACTGACATTCAAGAAGAAAATGAGGAAAATGCCATAATGGTATGTAGTATATAAGTACTCATCAGTAATATGATGCTTTTTAGTAGCTTTTTACTTATATGCTTTACTCATTGACAGGCTGAATTTGCTGATGTAGATTGAAAAAATTATCAACAAATCTTGTCAGTACCGATACAGGTTGGTTTTAATGATTAGGTCAGCGTTGATAGTGATAATTATAACGACTACAGAAGCAGTAGACATAAACTTAGCAGTAGTGAATGTAAAGAAGTAACCAAGTAAAAGAAGAAGGCGAAGAACACGATGAAGAAGAAGTTAATATAATAGCACCTTCAAGAGCTGAAGTTTTAACCGTTCTCGTTATCCAACTATGTAATTATTAATATCACAATTTCAAGATTTGCTGATTCAGAAGAGAATGTTTCCGAAAATTTTATGGATTCTTGCATAAAATTACAGAGGAATGCCTAAGACGAACAATGCCTATTCTGAAGCAAAAAGCAATAAGTGATTATTCTCAAAAAACATAATGTTTATTATCATATAACGTATTACATTAAACTTATTACACAGTCGATGCTAATATGTATGTTTACGTAAACCTACCCCTAGGACCTATACATTATCATTTATTATAACGAATTGGTTTCCGTTATAAAAGAAGGTCTCGAACTTCCAGAGGATAAAGATGAAAAGAAGAAACGCGAAGAGGACAAAGCCAAATTCGACGGTCTTTGCAAAGTAATGAAAACCATTTTGGATAATAAAGTCGAAAAAGTCGTCGTTTCAAATCGCTTGGTTGAATCCCCATGTTGTATTGTAACATCTCAATACGGCTGGACAGCTAATATGGAAAGAATTATGAAGGCTCAAGCACTTAGAGATACTTCCACTATGGGATATATGTCTGCTAAGAAACATTTAGAAATTAATCCAGATCATCCAATTGTGGAAAATTTGAGACAAAAAGCTGAAGTTGATAAAAACGACAAGGCTGTAAAAGATTTGGTTATTTTACTCTTCGAAACTGCTTTATTGAGTTCTGGATTCACTTTGGATGAACCTCAAGTTCATGCTTCTAGAATTTACAGAATGATCAAATTGGGTCTTGGAATTGATGAAGATGAAATGGTTGTGGATGATTTGCCGGCTGGAGATGCACCCACCACCGAGGGTGAATCTGAAGATGCTTCTCGTATGGAAGAGGTTGATTAAGATGTTGGGTTTGAAGAGATTTAGAAGAATTAAAATTCAAGAAGAATGATGTTCAAGTAAGAAAAGGTATTTAATTTAGGGCATGTGTTCTAAGATGTTCTAATTCTCTCGTTCATTCCCATTTTTTTTTTTTGTATATTTATTGTTTGTATACAATATAACAACTAGACTGTGTTTTTATTTTTAGTTTTCCATCTTGATTACGATTTAAATGTAAGATACTCGTACCAAATAAAATATAAATGTTTCATTTGAATTTTTCTTGTTTTATTTTGTTCCTATAAAATATTTTAAAGATTAATTTTTAAGGTTTGTAGAAAAGGGTTTGAATTTATTAATTAAATTCTATATTTGGGTTGATAAGAAAATATAAAATTTGTTATTCTTAACTTAGCAGTAGAATAGAATACAGTGACTTCAAAAAATTTCTCCCACCATGCTTATTTACAGTATTTGATAAAAATAAAATAAATTATAATAGAAAAGATTTGTTATAAATTATAATGCAAATAGACGTAATGTCCTTATAAGAAATTAGCAAGAAAAAATTGTTGAACAATTTCACAATAATAATAAAAAGTAGATCAATTCACTTGCACATTTTGCACTCCAAAAAGTATTCGCTCTGGTAATTTTAGTAAAAAAATCCAGTTTTTTTTAATTTAGTAGTTAAATCATCCCTTCGTTAATTACGTTTTTTAAACCAAGCGAATTTTTTTTTTTTAATAAATTAAAATGGTTAAAAACTGCGTAACATCTATAGAAGTTAGAAAAATTATTATAAGCCTACATAAAGAAGGCATATCTATTCGAGATATTAATAAATATGTAAAAAGGTCGTATTAGACCGTAAAAAGTATTATTGATAGATTTGCTTCAAATAATTGTTTCATCGCTGTCAGAACTGCTCGTCCTTTAAAGCTCACTTGTAAAAAAAAGAGAACTGTTATCACCAAATTAAAAAAGATCCTAATAAAAGTGCAACTAAAATCGCTATTGAAGGTGAAAGAGAATTTGGAAAATCTATATCCGTAAATACCATTTGTAACGTCTTGTATGCAGCTGGTTATCACTTAGCTTATCACTGGTTTAGTGCGGACCTTGATATACCTCTTTGTATAGTTCCTTCTCTTATTTGTAGAGGTCGCACAGTGTTTGAGTGTTTCCAACCTTTCTCATCTTTTGAACCCCTTATAAATCAGAAAAAAATTACGAGCCCCGTGTGTAGTTGTTACTTGCAGGTAAGAAAAAATAAAATTTTGTAGAATTTGTTTCTATTTTCCTTGTTATAC